ACTCCTGAGCTCAGCTGATGCGAGTGGACATATATTGCAATACTGTTGTCCATGTGTAATTGACTTGGTGTAGGTATAATCGGGGTATTATATCGTATCCGAGAACGGAGACAGATAGATTCAACCCTAATATAGATCTGCTAGAATTGGTTCGTTTACAGCAAGGAAGTCACGTTTGGGGGCCATTTGTGAATCAACTGATGCAAGGAAAGTTTACGCAAGCACGGAGGGGGAATCATGATGATGGTAACGGGGATCTGCTGGTGAGATTGTTGATGAATTGAACTTGTAAGGAATGAGAAAATTTAGAGAAATTCTCGTTGGTCTCTGAACACTTCTATTCGAATTCGCTGAGCTTAGAGTAGATAACTTTTCGATTTTTCCTTCTTTTGGTATCACTACTCGAGATAAGGCTATGGTCAAGTACCATGGGATAATTTTGAAGAAATTTTGGGAAATTTCTGTTGTTTTTCGAACATTTCTACGCGAATTCGCTCGGGTGAGATACACGAACATATATACCTGCTATATGATGATCATTACCACCATCGTTGTGTAGGTGCCCATCCTCCTATACATCCGGTTCAGTTGGCCGGTCCAGGATCCCAGACACCCTTACAAGGAGAACAGTGGAGAGTGTATGAGCTCATCACGAGGCACTTCCTGGCATGTGTGGCACCCGATGCTATAGGTGAGGGAAAATATGCATATAGTGTGGGGGAAAATATGGGAAAAATGCATATAGTGTGGGGGAAAATATGGGAAAATTTGCATATAGTGTGGGGGAAAATATGGGAAAATTAGCATATAGTGTGGGGGAAAATATGCATGTAGTGTGAGAAAATACGGGAAAAGTGCATATAGTGTGGGAAAATATGGGGGAAAATGCATATAGTGTGGGGGGAAATATGCATATGGTCAACTACAGGTGCTGGTGGCAATATGGTAATTCTGGGGAAATTTTTCTTTAGAAATTGTTGTTGATTTCTTTACACCTTTTCTACCTTAATTCGTCACCTGAGCTGAGGAAGGCGAACAATTATTCCAACAAAGAGTATTGACATCTCTGCTTGTTGCCAGGCGCGGAGTCTAAAATAGAGGTAACCGTCGGAGATGAAATGTTCCACGCCACTGGTCTTACTGTAGTAGAAGAAAACTGGCTGGAGGTAGGTGCAAAATGGTAGGCTTGGGAATGGAACTGGGGATTTCGTCGTGTCCAGAGGTGAGGGTATGCGTCGCTGATCGATCTTACGTACGAAGTTGATTTCCAGTTCATCGTAGCAAAAATTTTATCAAAATTCACATACTTATATTATGGATTCTTATATTTTATACGCTGGTTTCGGACGCTGTATTACTCTTATTATAGAAAAATAGATCTAGTGAGTGAACTTCTTTGAGAACGTTAAGGGTTATGATGGAGTTTCCCAACCCGTTTTACGCGAAGTGGCGTAATACTCTGTGATAAACGCGATTTTCTGGTGATATGGCAGTAGTCGTGAAATATATTGTTCATATCACGACCGCCCGTGAAACTCCACTATCTGAGTTCTAATATAATGCTCGCATAAAAACACTGTTGTTATCCGCATAGGTGTACCCCTATGTGAAGTGGAAGGGTACGACGGAACTGCCTCCGGTGGCTTTGTATCAAAGGGTCCGAGTGGCTGAGTTGATGATGACTAGTGGGATGACGGAGCCCCCGGAGTTGCTGTCGGAGGCTGAGCTCATTGATTTGATGGATAAGAATCATATTGGTAAGTTGACGATGTTGTGGTTTTACGGTATGGTAAAAAATCTCGTTAGTTTTCGACTGGGGGTATGATTATTGTCCTTCTTTTGTGAATAATTTGCACCTTTTGCAGGGACAGATGCCACAATGCATGAGCACATAGCGACTATCGAGAACCGTGGGTATGCTAGTCGGACTCCTGGTGGGAGGTTCAACCCGTCGGATCTGGGTGTGGCTCTGGTGCAGGGATTCGGGGCCTTCCAGAATTTGAACGGCAGAGGTGAGGCTCACACATGCCTTTCGAGGATAGTTCAAATAGTTTCAATTTTTGTCATAGTCGGTGAATAATTTGCCAGTGTTGGAGTATATGTTCGCTTTCCTCAGCTGGGCTCAAGAGTTCGCTCACTTATCATAGAGGTTCACATACGAATGGGGTTAGAAGTGTCCAGCAAATAACAAGAATTTCTCAACATTTTTCCCATTTTTTATATTTTCACAAACAGATGTAGTTGATCATGTGCATCTTTTCCCACACTGAAGTTTGCTGAAAATTGATGAGCATGAATCTGCATTGTTCAGCTGTTATTTCATGAAAAAGATCGTTGTTTCAAAAGTAATGTTGGAATGTATGTTCTATTCCCTCAGCGGAGCTCGAGATTTTCCTCACTAATTATAGAAATTTGGGTAGAAGTGTACAATAATCTTTGAGAATTTCCCGGAATTTCCTCTCAGAATTTTCATATTTTCACCAACACATGTAGTTGACCATGTGCATATTTTCCAAGATTTTGTGTTGTCCACCCTCAGATGGTGATTTCAGGCTGCACCTAGCGGCTCCTCGTTTGAGGGCTCAAATGGAGGCTGATATGGCCCTGGTGGCCCGAGGGGAGAAAACGAAAGTCGCGATGGTGGCGGCGTGTTTGGCCATGATGAGGCAAATCTATGTGATGGTCAGTGAGGGCCCTCAGCCGATCGATAGAGAAATACGTCGATTGGAGGTGGAACAGCAACAGTTCTTGGCGATGAACCCAGGGGCAGCTGCTCCTCGAGGAGGTGGAGGAGGGCAGGTGGGTGGTGGTAGGGGTAGAGGGAAGGGTTATTACAGGGGGAAGGGAGGCCGGGGTCGGGGTGGGGTGAGGAGAGGAAGAGGAGGAGGACAGTATCGGGGTAGGGGCAGGGGAGGTAGGGGTAAGGGGAAGGGAAGATGAAGTGTAATGTTTCTTAAGCTGTAACATGATGCGAATAATAGTTATTTCGGGTCGTGTTGGTAGTGGGCTCTAGCGGCTAGTAGACACATCTAATAGGGGAGTTGCTCGTCAAGTGGACCACTTGAAGTGGTGTAGTGGTCCTGGTGGAGCTGCTCCACACTGAATATAACCTGTCACTATAATATAGTTACCATATATTTACTATCGTATCATAAATAATCGAAGTAGATGAAGGCGGTGTAGAACAAAGGAGTTGCTACCAGAGATATGTCGCAGGAGTGAACCGACCCAACTAATGAGAAGACCACGAGCAGCACACCTAGGATATGAGATGTCGAGTTGACTAGGCTATAATCAGATATCCAACTACTTACAGAGCGGTGACTGTACGAGATAGGGATAA